TCCTGTTACTTTCCCAAGGCTCCGGATTTATTCACAAGTCCACACCATGTAAACTCCAGGGGATACAATGGTAAACAATATATAATCCTAGCTATCAATCTGTACCTGTGAATTTTTTCTATCTAGCATCAGGGTCAGTGTGCTTTTTACCCAAAGGTGATTATAAAGTCTACTTTTGCAGCTGGAAATATCTCAAGTCATATTGAACTCTGAACCACCTGAGTGTTATTTGCTTAAGTGCCGATGAACTGGAATCACTGTATCTTTCAGTGATAGAAGGTACTGACATGACTACTGAATTATTGATTATTAATCCTGACCAATTACCAAAGATTTTTAAATTACAGATTCCTAATCTCCACCTACAGATATTTGATTGAATAAGGCCTAGGCATCTGTGTTGTTGAAAACGGCTCAAAGTATTAATAATGCTGACCATCACAAGAAATGACATCCACCTCCCCATTTAATAGAACTCGTGTATCCAATGATTGAATCTCTTCTGCTGAGGGTTTGGGATGATATTATAAGGGTTTGTGCTATGACATATGAGGGTTTGCACTAAGGGCTTGTGATGACATTAATAAACCCCACAAAGGAACCATGTCCAGAGAACTATATGTATCAGTCATTGTTAGCACAGCAAACCACTCCAAAATGCAGCAGCTTAAAACAATAAGCATTTATTATTGGTCATGAGTCTATGAGCCTGGTTGGATTTGTCTGATCTTTGCTGGGCCCACTCAAATGTCTGAGGCCAGCTGACTGGTCTAGGACTGCCTCATTCACATGTCTGCTGTAGGGTCACTGTCAACTGGGGTGACAGAGTCTCTGGGCCACAGCAAAAGAGCCCAAGAGCCTCTGTCTACACGATGACCGGGCTGGATTCCAAGTGTGTGAGGTCCCTTAAGGCCTAGACTTGGGACTGACACACCCACACACCTTTACCTCAGCACATTCTGTTGGCCAAAGCCAGCTATAAGGCCAAGCCCACATTCCGGGGCTGGGAAGCAGACTCCACCTCTTGATAAGAGGAGCTGCAAAGTCATATTCAAATAGAGTAATAACTGAGACCATTTTGCAATCAATCTATTATGCAGCATAACATAGGAGAAAATACTACCACTTCTAGCCAAATGTGATTTCTGAGTGTGGGCCAAAGTTTTCACCCTCATCTCAAAAAGTTATAAAGTCCTCCGGTTAATGCTTCACCTGACATTCCTCATTTCTACTCCAGCCTGCACACACACACACATCTTAACCTTCAAGATCTCAGTTTCAAACTAAAGCAAAAGAAATCTACTTACTCTCAGCACTATTTTATCTTATCCTTTGGGTTTTTTATTTATTCACCTATTGTTTTAAGACAGCAACTCTCTCTGTCACCCAGGCTGGAATGCAGTGGTGTGATCATAGCTCACTGTAACCTCAAACTCCCAGGCTCAAACGATCCTCCTGCCTCAGTCTCTCGAGTAGCTGGGACTATAGGCATGTGCCACCATGCCCTGCTAATTTTTCCTACTTTTTTCCTTAGAGATGGGGTCTCACTACAGTGACCAGGCTAACCTTGCATTCTTGGCCTCAAGTGATTCTTCCGCCTTGGCCTCAGAAAGTGCTGGGACTGCTACATTTTCTTTAAAAAACCCAAAGGGAGGCCAGGAATGGTGGTGCACACAACACCAGCAAATAGTCCTAAGGAGCAGGACACTGAAGTCATTGAAGACTACCAGCTGATGCTAATTATATTTTAGCCACTGGCAGCTGGCTAAGACCTCTTCACTCCACCTCCCTACTTCACTCATCCTTACCTAACTGTAACCATTTAGGAAATACACTAAAACTGCAGGGCCTGACCTGAATCCACAACTGTTCTCCCTGTTCCAGGTTCCAACAGATATGCAGCTTGGCTAGGATGTCGCAGCAAGTATTCTAGCATCCCTCCAACTAAGGTGCTGTTTTCGGTCTTTCAGAAAAATCACCATAGCCTTTTGGTGAGGGCCACTCAAGTTCTTTAAATACCTACTTGTGAGGTCTGGGACAGCAAAGAGTGGAAGGGAAAAGAATTCTAGAACCAGAAAACACCAGATGGTAGAGGGGTGGCCAAGGCTAGTCAGTGTCTGAAGGCCCTTTGAAGGCAATTCAGCAAGTGGCATGGGGAAAGTATATGCTGCTCAAAGGCAAGATTGGCCAGGTATGGTGGCTCACACCTGTAACCCTAGCACTTTGGGAGGCTGACATGGGAGGGTCACTTGAGCCTAGGAGTTTGAGACCAGCCTGGACAACACAGTGAGACCTCGTGTCTATGAAAAATTTTAAAATTAAAAATTTGGGCTGGGCATGGTGGCTCATGCCTGTAATCCTAGCACTCAGGGAGGCCAAGGCGGGTGGATAGCTCAAGGTCAGGAGTTCAAAATCAGCCTGAGCAAGAGCAAGACCCACGTCTCTACTATAAATAGAAAGAAATTAATTGGCTAACTAAAAATATATAGAAAAAATCAGCCGGGCATGGTGGCACATGCCTGTAGTCCCAGCTACTTAGGAGGCTGAGGCAGGAGGATTGCCTGAGCCCAGGAGTTTGAGGTTGCTGTGAGCTAGGCTGATGCCACAGCACTCTAGCCCGGGCAACAGAGTGAGACTCTGTCTCAAAAAAACAAAAAAACAAAAAAACCAAATTTGCTGGACATGGTGGCACATGTCTGTAGTCCCAGCTACTCAGGAGGCTGAGGCAGGAGGATAACTTGAGCCTAGGAGTTTGAGGTTATAGTGAGCTATGCTGCACCACTGTACTCCAGCCTGGCCAACAGAGCAAGATCCTGTCTGCGGCGTGGGGGATCAGCAAGGTTGTCTTAAATGCATAGTTTGGTTTTTGTTTATATGTCTAATTTTCAATCTGCTTGGAAGGATCACTGATTACAAGACTAAGCAACAAGAGTGGATCAACATAAATGAAAAGTGCAAAATTTACCATAAAGTTGCCTTAGAAAAGCCAAATTCAAGTGCATATTGCATTCAATTTGGTTTATGAAGATCCCTAGGAAGTTCTCAAAACATAACCAATAGGCTAGCAATGGGAGGAAACATTGTTGCCCTTCTTTTAAACTCTATTCTGTTCCCCAGCACTGGGTCTAGGAGAGAAGCAGGTTCAGTAGGGATGGTGATGTTTCAATACCATAATGCGTAGTATCCAATATGCAAATACCTACAAGAGCCAGCATGGCTATCAGTGCTATGAACTCCATGGATGGCTCAGAGTGGGCTCCATTTGCTTTTTAATCAAAACTGAAAAGTCACCAACTTAAACCCGCAATCTCCAGGTAAAATCACCATCATGTTTCCCACTCCCACCTCTTACTCACTTGGCTTCAAAATAAGTGGTTATTCTTGGATTGTTTTCTAATGAGCTGACTGATTGGGCTGCAGCTAATCTATGCTTTCAATTAATTAGCCAAAAGGAAACCAAAGCTGTTAGAAAGCAAACTACTGGCATTATCACCCCAGGAACACTGGTAGTGACAATGACAAGGAATTCTTGACTCCAACAGAAAACATACTGTACTTTCCTGAAACTTAGAAGAGGGGTATAAATTCTAAGAAGAAAAACTCTCACCTTGCCTGTGCTCCTCCCCACTCCAACCCCCACACCAGCCAACTTCATACTCTCTCTATGTGCCAGAAAGTCCACATGTGCCATCTTGCAGCACTATTTTTTAGGGCTATTGTTCACTGCTGCTCTAAAAACCTATGAATACATATGTTAAGTAAACCTGCTGCTTACAGGGAATCCTTAAGTTGCCTGCACAGAGGTGCCAAGAATGAACCTGTGCTGCATTTACAGAGACACCTGGGCATGGACCAAACACTCACATGCGTCACGGGAGTGTCCCGGGTTTGGGCAATTTTTATTGGACTTTCTTATACCACTCTCCTATAAAACCCTTAGCTCAGCACCGTCACACGACAACGTACTCACGATGTAATTCCTTACGCCTGTTAAAGGGATAGGGCTGTCTCACTTATACTACAGGATAGCGTAGTATCAAATTAACTTTACACGTAACCTTATCTTTCCTACATTTTTCCTGAAATCTTCCCAGGTGTTGAATCTAGGGCTAGGCCAGCAACCAGAGGCAGCAGTTTCATTCCTTCACATGCCAGTGCAATCAACGGCTTGTGTTTAGAATAAATATTTGAGACACAGAAGCCTGTTAACAATGCAGTGCTTGATTACTCTGAATGACTCTCTCACTCACAGCAATTGAGGGAGAAGGCCTTGGCATGGGCCTTGTGCACAAAACCTGCTCCCCAGCCTGCATCATTTGCCTTCCGACCCTCCCCTCAAAGAATTCTCAACTCACTACACAAAGATCTCAGTTTTCTCCCTTAAATACCACATGAATCCCACATTGAACATCAGACTCTTTTCCTTCCCACAGCACCGCAGATTTAATTTAATACTTCCATATATATTCATATATATTTAATTAGACTTATCTTTTAACTCTTCCTCGCACCCCATCCCTGGCATCTTTCATTCAACATGGAAACTCTTTAAATTGAGTCTTCTGTTTGCTTGTTTTGTTTTGAGACAAAACACCCTCTTAGTCTATTTTAAAGCTATGGTGACAATTAAGCCACATTTCAATTAGTCAGAAGTGCCCGTGTACTAAAATGCCCACAATCCTTAATACTTTTTCTTCCTCAAAACCTATTTGGTAAGCAATGTAGTTTTTTTTCTATAGGGCTGAAAGGGTAAGTTGTGCTAACCAGAGGTAATTAGTATGTTAGGTTTGGTTCAAGGCCAGGCTATCAGGTTACAATTTCTAATAAACTCTGCAGGGAAAAGACGTTTCCTTTGTCTTGGGACCACTGAGAACTAACCAAACAAGCAGAACACCTTCAATTGTCTCAGAAACTCTGCCATCTAAACACAATTGAAAAGAAAAGCCAACGACCAAAGCAAATTAAATGAATGAAGTGGTCCTGCTACTGGCAGCCCTTACCATTGGGACCCTCGCCGGGGCTCTGGCTGCTCCAGGGGTGGGGTGAGGGTGGCGAGGGGTCCAGGCTGTGGGTGCGGGTGGAGGTTCGCTCCGTGCATGCTTGAACAGGACTCACCGCCGTCTGCCTGCCTGTCTGCCACTCGGTCCTCTCGTCTGGGTGGGAAGGGCCAAGATGAAAAAAAATGTGCAGGTTACTCACTGGCCTTCCAGGCCGACACACCCAGGAGGAGGGAGAGGCAAGACGCGCAGGCAGGAGATTCTTCAGAGGCTGTGCCTGAGATCTCCCTTCTGGTTCCTTTGTTATTACTTCCTGAACTTTAAGCTCAGTCTGCACAGGCATGGTACTTAGGGAGGCAAATAACACTTGGGTAATTAGATTCCAAGGGCTTAATGCAAAGGTTACTTTGCAAAGGCAGTGCTTTGGCACACATACCTTTCGATTTAGCCCTGAAATTTGTTTCCACGGTGTGAAAGTGTTAACAGGGGCAGAGGAAATGAGAGTGAAGGGTGACCCCCGGGCAGGGGCCTGGAAGAGCAAGCAAACCTGGATGTGATTTAAACAGTGAATTCCTAGAGTCTAACTTCTAGACTCAATGTGAGAGAAACAGGATTCTTCAACAGTCTCTCAGGCTCTGTGAACTGAGCATTGTACAGTAGGCACATTCTTGAAATAGGTATTCGTAAATCACGATTTTAGAAATGGCTTCACATTGTAAATGCAAGAACTTGTTACCTGATAGCCTGGGTTTTGATTACTCCTGAAATGCAGACTTTCACAAATGGAGGGACCCTTCAGTAAGTTGTCTGCTTGGGTAGGTGTGGGTGTCCATCAACAAAGGCCTGGCAGTAATAAGGCAGGAGATGGGGCCCAAGGTGAGGAAGAGGAAACTGACACTGACACCAACTACGGAGCAGGGACCTAGCTCACTTAATGCTGAAAACGCCCTTATGAGGGAGGATCATTCTTCTTCTTTAGCCCAGAGGTTAGGTGACTTGGCTGGTGCTCAGCCAGCTCGTGGATGGAAGACCCAGGCTCTGGACCCAGGTTTGCCTGGACTCGAGACCCCATATGGTCCCACCATATCGCCAGGAATGTCTCCCCCCATTCCCAGGCAACACTCACCTTTCTTCCACTTGCAACTGGCCTAAGGACAGATCACGTTTTCTTAAATTTTTATAGCTTTTACAAAACTAATAAGCCATGGAATATAATTCTGTGGGGTATTAGTAAGTGCAATAAAAATAGAAAAAATGTACTGTATAGGTTTCTTTATTGTAGCTTCTCACAGCCTTTAATACACAAATATATATATTGTCAATCTCCAAGTTCAGGACTTATAATGTGCCATGTTTCCCAAAGAGGGGAAGGGATCTTTTGAGTTTGAGAAACATAATTATAGAGATGCTTTATTGTACTTTTCTCCTTCTCTCTCTTTTTTTATTTCTTGAACTTATACAAAAAAAAAAATTCATTATAAAAAACTTCAAACAGGCCGGGCCCAGTGGCTCACGCCTGTAATCCTAGCTCTCTGGGAGGCCGAGGCGGGCGGATTGCTCAAGGTCAGGAGTTCAAAACCAGCCTGAGCAAGAGCGAGACCCCGTCTCTACTATAAATAGAAAGAAACTAATTGGCCAACTGATATATATATAAAAAATTAGCCGGGCATGGTGGCGCATGCCTGTAGTCCCAGCTACTCGGGAGGCTGAGGCAGGAGGATTACTTGAGCCCAGGAGTTTGACGTTGCTGTGAGCTAGGCTGACGCCACGGCACTCACACTAGCCTGGGCAACAAAGCGAGACTCTGTCTCAAAAAAAAAAAAAAAACAAAAAAACAAACTTCAAACAGTATATAAGGGTAAAATGAAAAAGTAAAAATCTCTCTAGTATCTTTAACAGCCAGTCCCATTCCCCAGAGGTAACTACTGCTGGCAACTTCTTATGTAGCTGTTCAGAAATTTTTATGCATATAAAGCATATGCATACTACCCTTTTAAGCTATCCTTTAAATAAAGTCTTTTCAAAAGGCTGCTTTTTTAAAACACCACTACCAGGGTTAAAGTAAACCCGTGATATGTTATTTGGTACTTTTTTTTTTAACTTAATGATATATTTGAGATTTTCCATATCAGCATCTAAAATTGCTGCTATTGGCAAGTTAAGAGTCAAGAAAAGCAAAAGGTAGGTCTAAAATGCAGGATCCCTACTTTACAGAAGGGTCTTCTACATGGGCCACAGTATGCTTCACGACTCAATGTCAGAACACCTGGCTTTCCCTTTCGGCTCTAGCTGTGCCACTGCCACACTTGACCTGAGGTATACACACAGAAAGGGGAGGACCCTTCGGCCTACCTCACAAGTGGCTGTGAGGGTAACAATGATGGTAATAACAACAACGCCAACAACCTCAGCCAACACTTACTCTGTACCAGGCACTTTTCTTCATGCTTTGTATGTATTAATTCAATTAGGCCTCACCTTCAACAATCCTAAGAAGCAGTTGCTATGATTAACACCATTTCACAGATTGAGAGAGGCATCTCGGACTGTGTACCCAGCACACAAGAAGGGCAAAATAAATGCTTAAAGTTATTATATTAAAAGTAAACACGGGCCGGGCGTGGTGGCTCACACCTGTAATCCTAGCTATTTGGGAGGCCGAGGCAGGCAGATTGCTCAAGGTCAGGAGTTCAAAACCAGCCTGAGCAAGAGCGAGACCCCATCTCTACTATAAATAGAAAGAAATTAATTGGCCAACTGATATGTATATAAAAAATTAGCCGGGCATGGTGGCGCATGCCTGTAGTCCCAGCTACTCGGGGAGCTGAGACAGAAGGATTGCTTGAGCCCAAGAGTTTGAGGTTGCTGTGAGCTAGGCTGAGGCCACGGCACTCACTCTAGCCTGAGCAAGAAAGTGAGACTCTGTCTGGAAAAAAAAAAAAAGTAAACACGGTATTGGCAAGCCTGATCTTTGCCAGAACGTGTTCCTAAAAGCAGCACTGCAAAGAGGTTCCCATTTTCCCTTAGGGACAACGTTGTAATTGGAAGTTCTGTTCCAAGACTTTACCTTGGCTTCCTTACATTCCAGAAACAATCAATAAAATCTTATAAAAATAGAGATACAACAACAAATTTCATAATCATTCAAAGTAGTAAAATAATGTACCACGGCTCAGAGATTGGCTCTTACAACCCCTCCTTTTTACTGAAGGAAATAATATCCAAAAGACTGTGTGGCTCTCCTCTAAGAGTACATACCTTGTTACACTGTCTCAGTAATGAAACAATTTTAAAATATGCATACATTTGAAGCCCACATTACACAAAGGACTCCAACATATTCTATCATGTATTTATAGAATATATTGTATCATAAATTTGACACAATATTCATATACAAGTTAGAACAAGTATTATACATTTAATTAGAAATAGCTTCCCCCATCTACCTCCTTAAAATTTAAAAGATCATTTGAGGAATGATTTGACTAACTCATTTCTTAGAAACACTGTCTAGGGATAGTGTGAATCAATACCTTCTATTTTCCTATAAAATCCAGAGGCCTTCAAAATCAATCCCCTTCAAAATTAGTCCACTGGGTTTTATCCCCCCAACATAGTTGCAGAAGCATCTTCATATTTCGAGACATTACTCAGGACCTTAGCTTGATTTGGAGTGCAGAACTTTGACCTAATAATCCACCTGCTAATTCTGTCTCCCCTGTCCCCATCCATCTTCCTAAGTAAGGAAAGCCTTATAGGTGAAGTCACAGAGGGGCAGAATGAGACATAGGAATACAGAAGAGTGACTCATGCTCCTTTAACATGAATATAGTTGAATGGTTTCTATGTATTTTACTCTAAGAGTTAAAAAAAAGAATGACAGAAACTAACTCCTTCCCTTCTCCAGCTTTGACTTTCACCCCAATATTAGGCTATAACTTTCAGCACAGTGCCTAGATTATGGTGGGAGCTTATTCGTTATTTGGGTTATTTGTCCTGCATCCTGCCGGTGTCTCATTTAGTGTAATCTTCATCTCCAACGAGATCACCACTAACAAGTGTTTTTTTCTGAATCCCAGTTATATTCAACAATGACTGTCCATCTAAACAGGAGTCTATGCCCGGAATAGACAGCACAGTCCTGCTCTGAAATACGCACACATTTAAACAACGTCAGGGCTGGCTCCAGCAGCTCTAGACTCAGTAGGAGGGGAAAAAAAACAGCAGTGCACAATGGTGTTGAAGAAAGGGTCCAAACCCCAGTGCTGCTGCGTATGCTCTGGTTCCAGATTCCTGGTCTCACCTACCGTAACATGAGGCTGTGATTAAAATTAACTGAAAGGAGTATGTAAAACATTTTGTAAACTGCAGAGCACGGCACCAATGTCAGGTGGTGACCACCGTCACTTCCAGCTCTCTGAATGTGAGTGCAGTGGGGCGTGATCATTGCTCTAAGAGAGGAGCCAAGCTGTGTCTATTGTTCTCCATTCCCCAGCCCAGGGTCTGCTCAGTTGCTGTTCCCAAAGTAGGTCCAATCAGACTATGAATTAGCAGAGGGCACAATTCAAGCAGAAAATGGGACCAGCTTATTTTTCACATGGACACAGGCCTTTTCCTCCATTCCTCTTGCCCTGTCAGACCTTCTGAACTACTTCCTTCTAGCATATTTACAAAACTATTTTTAAAACTTTTCATTATAGAAAATTTCAAATGTACATTAAAAAGTGAAGAGATAGGTGGAACAAATCCCACTTATGCCTCACCAGCTGCAACGATTATCGATTCATTGAAATCTTGTTTCACCTATATCCCCATCCAGTCTGGATTATTTTAAATCAAATTCTCAGTATCATGTCACTTTATCCATAAACATTTCTGCATGTATCTCTAAAAGATAAGGATTCTGTTTATAAGCACATCAAAATATTACATCTAGGCCGGGCACAGTGCTCACACCTGTAATCCTAGCACTCTGGGAGGCCGAGACGGGAGGATTGCTCGCGGTCAGGAGTTTGAAACCAGCCTGAGCAAGAGTGAGACCCCATCTCTACTAAAAATAGGAAGAAATTAATTGGCCAACTAATATATATAGAAAAAATTATCCGGACATGGTGGCGCATGCCTGTAGTCCCAGCTACTCGGGAGGCTGAGGC